CGCTCTTCAGACCTGCAGAGTAGGTTCCCAAGCCATTCCCGTAATAGGCTTTTCCTACTATATGCATGAAGAGATAGCATGTACATGACCTATAAAGTCTGCACGAGTGGGCTTTCTAATAGGTTTTTCTCAGACTCTGCACACACCAAGCCTGTGGAACAGCTGCATTTCAGAGCAGGTCACCTCAACACATAGGGAGGGTCAGGATAGATGGGGATACAGCTTGCTGTGGCTAAACAAGCTTCAGTTCTCTCACCCCATAAGGCTGGCGTGACATCTCGCAGATGTCAGCTTCTCTCAGTGAAGCTCCTGTTCTCTGCAAGTCTTGTGCCCTTGCAGCCCATCACAGAGGTTGTGATTTTCAGATACTACATAAAAAGCAGTTTTGATGTTGTGTGTACTAAGGATGTCGTTCCCCCCAAGAGGCTGTAAGGTGCTAAACTGCAGTTGTCTTGATTGACATGCGTGGCTTCTACCTGAAAATAACAACCGAATGGCAGAAACCTTGCTTTCAATTGAAATTTGGCTGGTTTTGTGTGGCAAATAGTAGAGTATTTCCATTTTGTCAGCAAATATTAGGAACTTTATTCTCCTGTTCTTGCCATTTAGAAATAGGAATATTTTGTGCCTGAAGGGAATTTTCTTACTGCATAAGATGCTCTGAACTATTCTGAGAACACTCAGATTATGGCCTCCCTTTTCCTTTAATTTTTGCCTCAAATTTGAAAACTTAGCAGTATGAATTTTTAAAGTTTGTTGTTCAAGCCGCTTGCTCCTAGCGAAAATTGCTGGGAGCCAGGCAAGTTCTGCAGAGGTAACGCATCAGGGATGCTGCAGTTTGAATGGCAGCTCAATGTCTTGGAAAAGTGTTTTCCTTCAGAGCTGCCTACGAACACAGAGCAGGGAGTACACGTGGGGGATCTTTTCAGTGAACTGTGCTCTGGAAAGATGGAAGCCTCTTGAGAGAAGAAAGCTCTAAATGCAGCTGTGCTTGGTGGGAATCCAGAAGTAGTGCTCTAAGAGTCAGCCAGACATCTTGAGCTCTGATAACATCCAGGTCAACTCAAGATAGCAAGTCTGTTGTCTCTGATTTAGAAGTTGTTTGAAATGGATATCAGTGGGGATGCAGCCTTCCCTTCAGTCAGGGATTCTTCTCCTAAAAGGATTGTATATTAAGAGACACAGCTCTGGAAAATACTGTATATAATAACATTTGCAAAAGGGACATGTTTACTAGTGATTAGTGCTTTCAACAGTAGCTCTATAAATCACAGTAGCTCTTTCCCTTCCTCTCCCCTCCCTGAAAAAGTGTTTGCAACTCTTTGGTTATATTTTCTGGATACAGCTAAAAATCACTGTTTTGATAACCTTTGAACTTCAGTCTTAGCATGGGTATATTATTTTGGGGAAGTAGTATGTCTGACCTCAAAAAGGAGGCTGAGTTTAATTTTTAAAGCAGGCGGTAGCAAAAGTGTGCTGTCCATTTAGTGATACAAACCTAGATCAAAGATTGTGCGAGAACTACAGCAGACAGGTTCAGAAATCCTTGGACAAACTGAAAATGGGAGGACACCAGGATGCTATGGTACAGCATCTCACTGTCCAGGTATGCAAAACGTTCACTTACCAGAACAGTTCATCCTCTGTGATGTTGAAAACTGACACTTTTTCTGGGGAAGTATCAGTACTGCATATGCATTGATTAAAAGCAAAGTAAACACATGTTATGGTAATATTACAAGATGCTGCTTTTCTCAGGTAACAGCTCATTTTGTACTTAGCTGCATGAAAATTAGAAGTTAAGCTTTAGGCTATGGCGAGCACTGCGGGGCAACATTACGTGAGAAATGCTTTCTGTTGAAGAATGTTTTGGGGCCTTTTTCTCCCTGCAGGAGGGCCACACAGAAGAGCATGAAGGTGAAGAGCAAGTCCATGAACAGCCCCAGCAGCAGGAGGAGTACTGACTCACCCAGCGGCTCTGACAATTTTCGTTTTGTGTGAGAACTTTCTTCTGGAGAATGGAACATGTGCGGCCTCAAACTTGAAATCAGTTCACTCCCAGTCTGCCATTAACATTTATGTACCATAGTGAGTGCCAGCCAACCACTGCATTCTGTACCCGTACTCTGCCAAGATGCATTTGCAGACGTCTTCTTTCAGTGTATCTTCCCAAGAGGTTGTAGGGCTACATCACCTCCTGTACATCACTGCAACTTCACCACTTGGCTGCTTGAGATTTGTTCTGCTCTTTAAAAAAATATATATATTTATTTTTTTCTTTTTTTTTTTTTTGTCTTAAGTATGATACACTTGTAACTTGTTCTAACATATTTATATTGGCATTTTGTGTGGCAAGGAGTACCGTACCACTAGCTGTGTCTCTCACTTTGTGGTGCTTTCGCATTTTCTAGTACATCTGCCTTGGGGCATAAATTCGGTCAAACAATTGGAATAAAGGGATACAGACGAAGTCATAATCAAGCCATAACAATGAGATGTGTTGTGGAGGAGAATGCTTATGTTGCTCACGTTTATTCCTTTCCTGCCTTCACGAAATGCAAGGCAGAGCATCTGTTTCACTAGCAGAGATTTAAACCCCTGTGTTAGAAAGCTTGTTAGAAAGCTGCATGGTATGTTTTTTGGCTTATTTCTGGAGGAACAGACATCCACTTAGGTTTTTTGAAAACCCTCCCAGTTTCCTGACTAGTCAATAGACATTTCCCAGCTTTTCTTCCTTCCTGAGGAATCCAGTCCCAGCCTCCAGCTGCAGCTCTGCCTCCGCACAGCTCAGTGCTGATGGAGGAGGGAAATCTCCTTGACGCAAGTGTAGCTGCAGGACGTGATCTCTGCTGTCATACTTGGCTTCCCACTCCTCAGAAGAGGACAAAGTAGGCCAGCCATTTCTTTTCACCATCCTTCCCATTCTGCTGCCCCAGCCACACGAGTTGGAAGACAGAAATTTCCTCACTGGTGTAAAGCATGGGGAAAGACCAGCAACAGCACTAGCCCTGAACTCCCTGTGAGTGAGTAGCAGACACTTTACAGGTGTTGAGTCTGCTTATGAAGCAGAGAGGGGCAATTGAGGGATCCTTCTGGAGACAGAGCATACATCAGAGGGGGACCAGCATATCGAGGGGCACAGAGCCTGTTCTATGTTTGGCTGAGCTTCCTCCAGTGAGGCCAGTGCAGTGCAGAACCATGTCTGCCCTGGAGATGTCTGCAGTGAGAGTGTTCCCTTCCAGCGCTGCCCCATCGTCCTGTTCTAAATGATGGTATTTTATAAACAGAGGTATCTTGAAGTATGCAAAGCATTCCGTATTTTTCTTGTAAAACTGTGCATTCTAGTCTCTCTGAATATGTAATGCTTGGTATTCTCGGTCTCTCACTTGATTTTCCTAGTTCTGGATTGATACGCTGATTTAGCAGGCACGTGTAAGTCCCATCCCAATCAACAGTCACTGGAAAACTCCAAAGCCTAATGAACAGCTAAATCATGTTAGACCTTCATAGGCTCCTAAAGCGTAAGTTCCCAGCTTTACGCTTCCATGGAGAGGTTTTCAGTTAATCAACCCCCTGGTGCACACACAGACACATGCACACACAGTTTTCTGTTCCTAATCGATCTTCTGCAGCTAAGTGGCTCTTGGCTAAATGTGAGAACCCTGCTGTTGTGTGTTGCACCACAGGCAATGTATAAAATACTGTTAAGCACTAGAACAGGTATTTCCAGATGCTTGATCCCTCCCCCTGCTCAGCAGAAGTTTCTGGACCCTGCAGGCTGAAGGTTTCCTAGCCCTGTCTCCAGCATTGGCCTCACATCCTACCCAGTGATGAAGTGGAAGTACTGCAACCTGCAGGCCAGCGCTCTCCTTTCCTTTCCTTTCTTGATTGGTTACAAATAAGGTCTGGTTTATAAAAAATGTGTGTATATGCTAAAAATAAGTATTTCCAAGGATCACCACAAATGGGGGAATTGTCATTTTTGTTGTATTTGTGTTTATTAGAACATATGTACTTATTACAATTGTCATTGTAATAAACGGTAGTTCTTCATAATACTGTTGAAGAGCAGTTACTAATTCTTTTTTCCAGACTCCTTTAACCTGTATGGGATTTCTGATGGGGCAAGGAGTTTGGGATCAGTGTATAAACTTAATTCCATCAGCACCATTTTCCACTTACTGCAGTTCATCCTTCTGCTAATACTTGAGCAGATGCATGGAGAGCACTTCAAGAGAAAATGTATTTCTAAAGGTGCCAATGGTTAGGGTTGCCGAGCTCCCTGGAGGGCTCACAGCCAGGCTGTTGTGCACCTCCCTCTCTTTGGAGCACATAATAATAGTTCTAAAAAGCTGATCTTCATCTGCTGAAAATTCCTTATATCCTGTTTCTGGTCGGAAGACCATTTGCCCTCTCATTGCTTGTATCAAGGGGGGGAAGTGACTGATGTAGGGAGCCGGGGCAGTAAAATACGTTGTGGGCACTAGAAAATTGGCTGTGTTGAGGGGAGAGCAATGCTCTGA